AAATTCCATGAGCTACAAGGAAAGTGACAAACCTTTGTGTGAAAATTACAAAGGAACATATATGTGCAAAGGACCCTTTTTAAAATTAAAATGGTATAGTATTTTTTTGTATGCATACAAAAATATATATCAAAATGTTAACAATGGTTATCTCTGGGCACAGTTCTTCTTTTTTTCTTGCCTGGATTTTCTAAATTTCCTATAATAAACATGTGCAACTTTCATAATAAGAAAAAAAAAATTCTATTATGACATAAGAATACAGATTAAAGGATGTTGCCTGTAATCCCAGCACTTCGTGAGGCTGACACAGGAGGACTGCTTGAGGCCAGAAGTTGGAGACCAGCTGGGTAACACAGCAAGATCCTGTCTCTACAAAAAAATTGTTTTAAATTAACCAGGCATGGTGGCACATGCCTGTAATCCCAGTTACTCGGGAGGCTGCGTCAGGAGGATCACTTGAACCCAGGAGTTCAAGGAATGCCATGAACCATGATTGTACCGCTGCACACCACCCTGGGCAACAGAGCAAGACCCTGTCTCCAAAAAAAAAGGAGAGACAGAGAATAAAGGATTCAAAAACTTACAACTACACATGAATTACAGAAACAAAAATGTTCCCAACATCATTAAACTTTTAAGTGGGTGCAAATTTACCCTATTTATAGAAAATGGAGAAACTTTATATTCAAAATTCATATCATTAAAGAACCAGATCATGCAAAAGAAAAAAAAAAGGTTTGAGAAAGTACTGAGAAGGAAAAATGTTGGAAAAAGTACCCAGTAAGTGAGAATGAGCTGAGAGATTTCAATAACAGACTTTCTGCAGTACTGGACAGTATCAAACTTTATGCAAGCTTAATCAAAACAGTAGAAAAACAGCGTGTTTCAGATACAAGGAAAATGGTAAAATGAAGGCAGAAGCTAAAATGATGAAAAGAATGGATTCTATTCCAATACACACTTATGCAAACATTTTTTCTTCTGGAAGGCAATGGATGCTCTGCCTATATCCCAACTCCCTTTGTATTTACATCCTTCCAGAAACAACTGAGAGCAAACAGTCATGCAGCAGGCAGTCTCTGCCTGATACCATATCAGACACATGGCATACATTTTACTCGATTCATAGGTAATTTTCAATTGAAACCCTTATCCTGATCTAAACTTCAGATATCTTTAAATGTTTACCAGCGTTCTTTCTTTAAAATTAACTATGCAGTTATTTTTGTTTTTAAGAAAAAGTAGAAAGAGGTAAAGAAACCTCCTTTTGGAAGGTAATCATGCCCCTTCTGCCACAACCTCCCCAAGGCAGATCCTTAAAAATTTCCACAGAAAAGAGTTTGCCTAAATTATTTTTTTAAATGCTTTAATAATATAGATTGAGTTAAGTCAATTGAGAGAAAGAAGTTAACCAGGAAGCTTTGCTCAAAAACCTAAATGGTATATATGCGATGCTGATAATAATAACATACACAAGGGTTTCAAACAAAAATTATTGAAGAAACCAGTAACATATATGTCAGGTGGTTGGTACAGTACATGACAGTTTTTAATCTAAGTTGGATCTGGGAGGTCATAATTATTTGCATTATTACTCAAAGGAAATCTGAGAATAGCAGTCCTATTTTCAATTTCAGTAGGTGACCACTAGATTACTCTCCTAACTGCAGATGTACACTCTCTTGCCCGCCCAGGACCCAAAAGCTATGCTAAAATCTAACCTTTCTAACTCTTCATTATGTTAATAACAAACATGAATGAGCTTTCCTGTATATTAAGCTAGAGTTTCATGCTTGGTTTTTTTTGTTTTTTTGTTTTTGAGTTGGAGTCTCACTCTTTGTCACCCAGGCTGGAGTACAGTAGCCGCTCCCGGCCACCGCAGCCTCGACCTGCTGGGCTCCGGTGATCCTTCCACCTCAGCTTTCCAAGTAGCTGTAACTACAGACACACACCACCACTCCTGGCTAGATTTTGTGATTTATTGTAGAGATGAAGTCTCACCAAGTTACCCAGGCTGGTCTCCCCTGGGCTTAGGCAAGCCTCTAGCCTTGGCCTCCCAAAGTGCTAGGATTATGGGCTGAGCCACTGCACCTCGCCTTGGTTTTTTTTTGGTTTTTTTGAATCTTCGGTCATACAAACAGAAATGGGCACAAATTACTTTTACCAATCCTGTCCATATTTACTGGCACATAGGGTAAATAAAGAACATTTTATCATATGTGTCAAACTCAAAGATGAAACAGCTCAAAGACTGTGAGCTTTACCCAGAAACCATTTTTTACAAGCATGGCACACTGCCTCAAGCCAACCAAACACTAAAGCATGTTAGGCTGCCCACACTGCAAATTATTTGGAATGCTCTCCATGTTTTGTGGTTACAAAAGTACTTATTTTGTGGCTCATACAGTTCAAATGAAGGGCACATCTGACTTTAAACAAAAAATTCCCAGGAAACTGAGACTATAATTGACCAAGAATCCCACAGCCCTGAAAGCCAGTGACCTCAGGCTCATAGTCGAACATCTCAACTGCTACATTATGAAAGTTGAAGAGATACAGCATAAGCTCGGTGAAGCTCGTTCAGTGTTTCAAGTAAATACTAAGAACTAAATGTGCACGTCATAGTTGCCAAAAAATGGGGAAATCGCCACATGCAACAAAGCAAAGGATTATTTGCAGCGAATACAAACATATTCCTAGTAAGTACCTAGCAAATTAAAGAAAAAAAATCAGCCTAACAGATTATTTCGTTTCATTTCTGTTTTTCATACATAGGCTGAAATGAAGCATCTTCAGCTGTGAAACATCGCTACAAATATTCTAAAAGTGAATGAGGTAGTTTGGTTTGTAGTGACTAGAGCATTGTATAACAGGTATTATTCTCCCGTATCCATGGGTTCTGCTCTCAAATCAAATGTTAAAGACCTTACTTTGCAAACTGGAGTGCTACAACTTCCCCAAGGTTTGCCTCTCAGGCCTTTAAGGTCTACTCTCTAAGTTCCAGAACTAAGAAGCATGCCCTGAAAGTGATTTTTTTTTTTTTTTGAGTTGGAGTCTCAGTCTGTTGCCCAGGCTGGAGTGCAATAGCACATTCCCAGCCACCACAGCCTCAACCTGCTGGGCTCAAGCAATCCTTCCACCTCAGCCTTCCAAACAGTTGGAACTACACGCACCATGCCCAGCTAATTTTTGGATTTATTGTAGAGACAAGGTCTCGCCAAGTTGCCCAGGCTGATCTAGAACCCATGGGGTCAGGCAATCCTCTCACCTCTGCCTCCCAAAGTGCTGGGATTATAGGTGTGAGCCACCACGCCCAGCTTGAAGGTGATTTTTGAGGTGTCAAAGTAAGAAAACACTATACTGACAAGCTAAATTTTACCAAGAATTCCCATATTGAAGCTTAAGAAATGCCTGATTCAATGATCCATTTGGTGAGTACTTCAGTCCATCTTAATAGATAAATATATGGTAAGGATCACTGTTATATGACTCCCTGGTCCAAGCCTTTGAAGAGTTCAAGAACATATTGGAAAACACCGTATTTTTTTTTTAATTTAACTGATACTGACTAAAATTCTGAAAAGATGACAAGCGCTAACAAGAACTATTTTTAGTTACTGATCTTTTACATCTTCTTAGTGCACATGTATTATCACATCCTTAAATGATTTTCCAGTTTTATATATCTATATATATGTATGTCTATATATAGTATATAGAATATATATGTCTATATATAGTATATGAAGAGTATAGTATACAGATCTAATGTAGGTACTATTGATATGTAGTATATCAATAGTATACATATATGAGTACAAATATATGTGTGATACTGATATATACATATATAAAACCGTGTGTGTGTGTGTGTGTGTGTGTGTGTGTGTATGTGTGTGTAGTTTCAAAGAATCACAAAACAATCATCCTAAACCAAATAAACCATATTCAAAATCTCAAGGTACTCCCATTAATCAATACAATTCTAGAAACTAAGTTACTCCACCTTAGAACCCTAAATTCTTCCTGGAGTCCAGCAAGCTTATGATAAAATAGTAGCTACAGTTAGGGTTTTAGTTATGTGACTTTTCTAGCAAATTTTTCTCTAAGAATGTTCAGTTTGCTGCAAATTTTCAGAAAATGCTTGAGTGTTGAGTTTCTTTTTAAAAGTTTCTGTTCTGGACTGGGCACAGTGACTCATGCCTGTAATCCCAGCACTCTGGAAGGTCAAGGCAAGAGGACTGCTTGACCCTAGGCATTGGAGACCAACCTAAGCAACATAGCAAGACCACGTCAATACAAAAAAATAAAAAATTTAGCCTACCCAGGCATGGTGGCCACACCAGTTGTCCCAGCTACTCAAGAGGCTGGAAGGGGAGGATATCCTGAACCCAGGAATTTGAGGCTGTAGTGAGCTGTGATGCCGCCACTGCACTCCAGCCTGCGGAACAGAGTAAGACCCTGACTCCAAAAAAAAAAAAAAAAAAAAAATTTCAGTTCCGGTATATTTTACAGCAAAATGACGAAATTGTACTTAGAGATGAAAATCTAGATCCCAAACAACATTTTACAACATTACTGGTTATTCTGGAATTATTTTCTTTAAAAACTTTCCCACTGCAAAACAAGATGGTTCCTACCCTATCTTGGTAGCATACTATTCACACACAAAATTTTATGTAAAACATATACCAGAGAGTTTACTGTAAATACTTCATGACACTCTTTTCCCTTAATAAGCTTCCACATTCTGTTTTTATTGTGCAAAATGATCTGGATGATGTAATCAATTTTGCCACTAAAATTGTAGCGATGCAACACTTCACAAAAATACAGGGACTTTTCATCAGCACCTTTGACTTCCAGTTGGTATCAGACGTATACAACATGAATGGAGAAGACAGAAACAGAAACCGACGTGGGGTGGCAAAAAGCTAGAGGCGTGAGAAAATAAGGCCTCCTTCACCCACGGGACACATGAAAGAAAGAAAACTTACCCATTCGTGCAAAGAATGTACGAATTAGGCTTCATCAAATGACTGCAAGTATTCCATCCCTCATCCATGGATAAAAATGTCTGAAGCAACATCAGATTATGCAAGAGACATCAGGTTTTATTTACGATTCCTAGAAATACTACCAAACTTAGCTAAAGCCTTCTTCATCTAAGACATAATGAAAACCAAATTTGCCAATAAACACAGAGAAGATCTTATCTTGAAAAAAGAGTTAAAACCCCGTCCCACCTCGCTGAAAAACTGCACCCTGCTAAAGGGATACTTGTATTTCACAAGTGTGGAGACTGAGTCTCGGTGTTTCCTCAACGACGAAATGATTACTTGCAAAACGTGGGCAAAGCCCTAGGGGAAAATTTTTCATAAAGACGTGCTGTTGCCTTTTTTTTTTTTTTTTTTTTTTAAGCACCCTGAGCCTCCAGGATATATGTTTCCTTTAAAAAAAAAAACAAAAAAAAACAGGTTTCCCAACAGGGGCAGAGGAGGCAGGGCTGAAACCAGGGCGACGCGGAGACCCGAGCACGGCTGGGGCAGGACGGACCCGACCGCGGGCGGAACCCACGTGGAGGGACCGCCGGGAGCCGGGGCTGGGAAGGAGCCGCGCGCCGGGTATACCGGGTGGAGCCCAACCGCGCGCGGAGACAGCGGCGCGCGAGTCGCCGCGGATCCGTCCCCTTCCTTCCCGGCACTCGGCTGCCCGCCGGGGCCCGGGAAGAGCCGGCCCGGGGCGCCGCTCCTTTCCTACGGGCTTCGTATATAGTCTGTTGGACATTATACGCACGGCCGAGAACAGCCATGACCAGGCATTCCGGGACATGACTTCTAACCCCTTCTCAGTAACAACTTAGCTTTGTGTCCTCAGGTAAAACTGAAAACTCGCTCAGCCTCAGTTTTCTCATCTACAAAATGAGGAGGTCAAAATACATGATCTCTAAGGAGGCCCAAACTTCACCTGTATGATGATCACTTGTATACCCAACCCTGAATTGTACCTCACATCTGTAAAATAAAATAAAATAAGTTGCATCAGTAGTACAGTCTCAAAAAGCAAATGCTTATCAATGCCTAGAACACATTTTACTATAGAAAGTGTGACTCTTTGGGCTGATGCCCACACAGGACAATATAGGAAAAGTCCCTGAAAATTTGGAAGTGTACTTCTTACCTCATATAATCTCAAAGTTTATAGCTCCATCATGTAGGACCAACACTGAGGAAATAATATACTCACTGAATCTCATCTGCTTGCTACTTATTTTTCTGCGATATTAAGCTGAGGAAGTACCTTGAGTAAGAAA